TGCACCTACAGAGATGGCTTGCTTGAAGCTCTTTCTGCTAAAGTTGCTGCCTTGGGCTTGCTTTGGCAGGGGGCCTGGCTCAGACCTACTTCCTCAGCGGTTCCGGATTCGTGCCCCAGACCCACAGAGGCCTCTGGTTCCAGTGTAGTCCCTCAGAGGTCCCGGACTCATGCCTGGATCTGCAGAGGTTCTGGCTCAGGTCTACTGCCTAGGAGGTTTCAGACTCATGCCTAGACCCACAAAGGTCTCTGGTTCCAGCCCACTCCCTCAGCAGTTGCTCCCTTGTACCTGCTTCTGTGGAGTTCGCTGTCTCAAGCCTGCTCCACCCTAGGTCGCTGGCTCAGTCCTGTTTCCATGAATGTCCCTGGCCTGGATCCAGTCCTGCGGAGGTCCCTGGCTTGGGGTTGGTCCCACAAAGGTTTCTGGCTCCGGTCTACTCCCTCAGAGGAGGTCCCAGACTCACGCCCAGACCCGCAGAGGTCCTGGCTCAGGCCTCTGTAAAAATATTTTAAAGGATACAAAAAAGCAGCCAGATGACAAGACGCATGGGATAAAGGTCAAGAAGCATCGTGAGCACAAGATCTCACCCTGGAGTTGGGATGGGCTGCCGGCTCATCACTTAAATGAATTCTTCTTGTTCAACTTCTTGTACGCCTCGTGTGTTAAGCTGATGAGAAGTTCTCCCAGCCCCGTCCTTTGGAAAGATTCTTTGGACAAGTGGGACAGAAATATAGATGCCACTGTGGGAAGGTGATTGGATACAGAGCGTAGGAGCAGATGCTAATGAACAGTTGGGAACCTGGCAGGGATGTGGGTCCAGAATCTCCTTGCCTCCACCCTGCAGCACTCCTTCCTCTAGGACTCAGGGCAGGCCCCTTCTGAAAAGAGCACGGCCTGCTGTTGGAGAATTTCCATATGACCACACAGAAAGGCCTCTGATTCTCTTCGGGGAAGATATAGTCTGACTTCTGTGGCTTGCCTCGCGGAGAAAAGGGAGTAGGTTAGAGAAAAAGAGACTGCTCTGTGGACCACTTCTGGGGTCCCAGACTCCCTTCTACGCTCTTTAAAAAAAAAGGACTATTTTTCATTTTTATTGCTCTGAAACCGCTTCAGCCACTAAGGGTGAGATGCCAATTATTCTGCTTCAACAGAACACATGCTCGTTGTTCCAGTTGTTCAGGAAGATAGCGAGGGTTATGATGGGAGTTGCAGTCCAGGATCTGCGCTAGGCAAACAAAGCGTCTATGTCCTGTTATCACAAGGGGACTGGAGGCCAGGCATAGGCTGGCTTACAGCTCTTTGCAGTAATCTGATGAGGACCAGGGATGGTGAAGAGTGGTAGGGGTGGGCTGGAGATGGTGACAATGACAGGCAGGGCTGGCAGGTCGGATATGACGGATGTAATAGCAGTCCTGGCAAGACTGATATGGAAGTGGCTCTGGGTACAAAGCTGAGGAACACAGGTCTTAAATTTACGCGTTGTTAGATCAGGTTTGTGAACACATGTTTGTCTGTAGAACTATTCTGTCGGCATTTAGGGAGTTTTAATTCAGTCTTAAGTCTTGGACCCAGCAAAGGAATTTCAGCCTGTCTGAGATCTGCCTATCGGCAAGGCTGCCTATTGGTAAGCCATTTGGTTTTGGTGTCACCTTTTCTTTTCCTTTCTGGACAGCTGATAATACAAATGGAGGTATGCACCTGTCACCACGCACCTGCCAGTGGCTTGGGTTTCCTGGATATTACCTAATTTAATTAATGTCTTTTATTCCTGAGGCTATTTACCCCCTGTATGTGAAGTGTTTTTGTTACTAATTTGCTTTGATTTCCTGTCGCTAAAATAACAATAATAAAACAGCTGCAATTCCGGTGGTGGTCCTATTGATCAGGTGGAGAGACTCTGAGTGGTGGTGGAAACGCAGATGATTGGGCTCGTGCTTTAAGACAGACAGACCTCACCCCTCACGGGCAGCCGCTGCTTAACTCATTCTGTATTTATTCTGTCGTCCACCCTGGCCCTTGATTTCCCCCCTCTGCTTGGCCTACCTTGTCATGCTGTTCTCTAGAAAATCAGGTCACCCTGTACCTAACTTTTCCCTGGCCAATGATGTTTTAGCTGCTTACTGAGCCTGCTGGGTTGTACCTAATCCTCACTCAGCCCCAGCTATGCGCACTGCCATTAGGAACATTATAAATCACCACTTAACCACCATAATACCTACGCTAATGGTTGGAACAAAAAGTCACCCCCTCCCTTGTGTCCAAGCGGCAGTTGCAGGCTCCCAGAAGAGGCTCTGCACTGTCTTCTTAGCCATGGCTGTGTCTTCCACGTTCTCAGCCCTCACAGAACATTCTATTCCAGAGCACGCTGCTGCTTGTGCTTTCTTTGCTACCAGAGATGGGGACCTGCTTTCCAACCACGGGGTTTCCCTGAAAGGAACTAACCACAGCCACTTGCCAACAGATAAGACGCTTAATGTATTTAAGGCACATTTCCTTGTATGTAAATAAAAGAGTTGTTGTTTCTTTACTTTTTTTCTTAACATTGTACCAGGATTGGGAAGGCTTTATTGATGATCCAAGGACATAAAATTTGTATCTTTCATAGAAAGACAAAGAAGAGGAGGAGGAGGAGGAGGAGGAGGAGGAGGAGGAGGAGGAGGAAAAAGAGGAAGAAGGGGAAGAAGAAAAGGCCCTACGCAGATGCTAACAGCTGCTGTAATGATGAAGCACATACATGGGGCAGGTTACACATATATGTGTGCATGCATATGTATGTTTTATTTTATAATACTGAGTGACACGTGTCAAGTATAATGATAAAAAGATACTTTTCTGTGTAGTTACTTTTTCCCTCTCTTTTGAGACAAGGTTTGATGTAGCCCAGAGTGACTGTGACTTTGGAGTTGCTATTATGATGACCTTGAATTCCTGATCCTTCTTGCCTTTGTAGAATTCCTGTGGACTGGGATTATATATATTCACCACCACATTCATCTAAAAAGTTCCCGAGACCCAGACAGGCAAGGGGACAGGCACTTGCAATACGGAATGATAGGAGCTATCATAATGACGAGTTCCTTATGAGAACGCACGGAACACATACTAATTCAGTTGAAGATGGAGAGATGTTGGGCATGGTGCAATCAAAGAAAGGGAGAACAGGGACTCTGAGAGCTGAAAAACTCTTCAGAAAGAATCTCTCTAAGAGTGAAGTCAAACGGGAAGGCTGGAGGGGTAGGCAGAAGTCACATCATAGAGGGGTTGGAACACTGGAGTGCTCATGGAAGGTTTTAATCAGGGGTCACATAATCAGATTTATCTCAGTGCTGTGCGGGAGGTATCTGGAAGGAGAAAGATGAATTAAGGGAGATCAGTTAGGAGGCTGCTAGGGTAAACTAGTCAAGGATATAATTGCCCGATCCAAGATAGTGCTGGAGGCTTACACAGAATGGGGTGGACTCGAGAGATATGTGGGAGGTGAAATCAATAAGACGTGATGTTTAATCAGATATAAGGGATGGAGTTGAGGAAAGAGTGAAGGGCAGAACACTCATTATATCTGGATAACCACAGGGTTGATGGTGCCCCCCACTGAGATCACAGTCATGGGCAGAGAAGGAGGTCTGGGGGTGTGGAGAGATGATAATTTTGTTTGGGATGTAGCATGGGGAACTTTGGATTCCATGAGATGAAATAAATTGTACACACGCACACACACAGATACGGAGACATTCTGTTATTTATATTTTCTGATGAATTCTTGGATGCTTCTAATTCCAGAAAAGGGACAGGATTACAGACTGCATGGCTCTCACATGACCGCCAGTGCTGACTAGACATGGGACAACTGTCAGGAACAACATCAACCAAATATGCTGGCTGACCAATAATTTGTGTGGTCAGGTTCAAATAAATGTCAATCAGATTCTTTCATTGGGTTGTTTCAACCAGGCAAGCTACCCAGAGCTTCCAGCCACAAATAGACAAGGGCATGGGATTGTCTTTCAGGTTTGGGCTGTGGTAGCTGCTGGGTCTCTGTGTAAATTGCTAAGAAGACAGCAAGCTGCCACTATCGTCTGCCTAAAAGATTTGAAAAGAGAGGAAGATGGAACAAAATACAGACTGATGGAGAACTTGGAAACCAAACCGCTATCCTTGAGTCTCTGGAAGAGAAAGACATGCAGAAAGAGACAGGGAAAGAGGAGACACTTGGTTTGTTCTGACTTTCAATTCCTGATTCCTTGAACATGACCACATGCGTACACACACACACACACACACACACACACGCGCGCGCGCGCGCGCATATATCATACATGCCGAGTACTGTGATGGCTCTTCTTGGTTGTCAACTCAATTATATCTGGAGTTAACTAAAACCCAAGAGGCTGAATGGACCTGTGAGGGGTTTTTCTTAATCAAATCATTTGAAGTGGGAAGACCTGCCTCGAATCCAGATCTTCTGTGGTGGGAAGAGCCACCTTAAATCTGTGTCANAGAGACTCTTGGAGAGTGTTCCCAACTTAGGATGTTGTGAAAGAGGAACATTTTGTGCTCTGAATTCTTTCCACAAGCTAGAGCTCTCGGGTCTAATGCTCGGAAGTAATGCCGGGAAGGGAGCTGCATTGAGCCACAGTCATGGGGGAGGAAGGCACTGAATCCAGTGTACTGTTTGCAGTTGTGATGCTCCACAGGTTGGGGTGCTAAATGCATGTGTACTATTTCCAACTTGTCAAGGGAGATATTCCCATTGCTGAGTCCAGAAGCACCTTATGTTTGCACCCACAGTAGATACAAATATTGTCACTACAACTGAGATTTATTGACTGCTGGAAAATTGAGGTAAAAGCTCATTTGCTTCATATAAGTAAATCACAGCAAAATGGGTCCAAATACAAAACTTTCAAGTTCTTTGTGTAGCAACCTACTGATTTTAAACTGTTAAGGCTTTTCCAGACAATTCAATGCTCAGAGACAAAAACAAAACACTCAATGAGAAATACAACTACAGAACATTTATTTTCACTAAGACTTTCCCAGAGGACATAACTAAGCTTGTCACCACCCCACCCCTCACAAGGGGTTAGTGCACTCACTGCTGTAAAACAGACACCAACAGTTTCAAGGACTGGAACCAACCTTAAATGGCAAAGAACACTCTCTGAATTATCATAAAAATGTTTAAGTAAAAAAAAAGAAGAAAGAAAAAGAGTAAAGGGGCAATAATGGTGGTTTTCAGAATGAAAGTATCATTCATGTTCCATGTCATACATTCAATCTTGGCTCTAGCGTAACAAAATGGAAACAGGATTACTATCATACAAAATGTTCACTACAGCACGCTGTATGCACCTGTTCCAAGCCCACCCCCAGCCCCTAATGCTTCCGACTCAACTACTTCCCAGCTTGTTGGGCCTGTCGACGAAGGAGCTCGTAGATCTTCTCTTTGATCCAGTCTTTGTTATAAGGCTGGTACATCTGTGTATCAGCTCGGTAAACAAGACAGCTGAGATCTGCCAGATCATCAATAAAATCAAACAACTGACTGATATCGTATGTGATGGAGGGGCTGTTGGGATTCATTCTTTTCAGATGTTCTTCATACATCTTACAAACACCTTCCATGCACTCATTCACAGACTCATAGTCTGCATAAGTCCTGCCTTCTGGCCTCTTGGTAGGCTGTACCAGCAAAATGGTGTGAGACATCTCGTCAGATGCTTTGCTGCAGCCGCCGCTAACACCACCGCCGCCACCGCCGCTGCACACGAGCTGCACACGAGCTTAGCCGCAACAGCCAATCCCGCGAGAGCAGCCGCCGGAAATGGCCTCCCACTGGAGATTTTATGACTGAATTAACAGAGAATGCATAAGACTATTTGTTGCTTATGGCTTTAGCTAAAGGCTAGCAGCAGAGAGACAGGTTCTGTCTGGAAGGCCTGTCTATCAGAAAATGAGGGCAGGGAGATTATATAATTTTGGTGCAAAGAGCCCATTTTGCCTGTAGCTGAAGCTCTCTGATTACTCAGAACCAAGTTCAGAAACTAATGGTCCTTGCTAAACTATGGTCTAGTCCTAATTTTCTGTCTCATTGAGTTTCTAGTGCCAATGTTAAGTCCCTGATTGACAAAGATAGATATTGGGGCTGCGGGGAAAGGGCTGTTTGGGAGGAGACGTTGCTGGGACAACAGCCTCAAAAGCTCATTCAAGACGTTTCTTATTCTGCTTTCCCTACAAAACAAAAAGACCCCTTTCCACTAAGTAGCTAAGGTTAGACTACAGGGGAGAGGAGCCTGGAGGTGTACCCCATGCTAAGTAGCTAAGGTTAGACTAAAGAGAAGAAGAGCCTGGAGGGGCATACCCCATGCTAAGTAGCTAAGGTTAGACTACAGGGGAGAGGAGCCTGGAGGGGCGTGCCCCGTGCTAAGTAGCTAAGGCTAGACTACAGGGGAGAGGAGCCTGGAGGGGCATACCCCATGCCTGCCAGTTGCATCTCTTCATGTAACATGGCATCACCATTGGAGAGAAGGGAAGCCAGGTTGAGGACACTAATCCTGCGTTCTAAACAGCAGGAAATGTATGGACGCGGTACTCAAAATTTATTTCAACTATTAAGAACAGGCACCATCCCAAGGACACCGTCCTTGTGGAGCCAGCCAAGGTGCTTTGTTATGGTAGTATTTAATGTATACGTGAATAAAAACACAATGCTATTGTCTTTTCCCGAAGAGCTCTTCCTATCCCTATGCAACTATTTTGAATTCTGCATCCCTGCTTTTACAACCGTGCTGGTTGCTGGGGGTGTGGCCAAGGTTAAATTCACCATTTACTTTACAAATTGAAGACAAGAAGTTGCAGAATCTTACAGAACAAAAGAGAAACGGACCTAATTTGCATATTTGAATATCGTGATGACTTCTTGACACAAACGAAGAGCAGGCTATACCTTCAAGATCTTCTGTGGGGAGAAGGGGCGTGGCTTGAAGTTACAGAGGTGATCAAGGTAGACCACAGCGTCTCCCCGAAAATACTGGGACAGAGAAAAGGTCCCGTGTGTCAGGCAGGGGAGCAGAAGAACAGCACTGGCAGACTCGGATTATTTGTCCTGCCCAGTGATGTTGGCAGGGACAGCTCTGTGTGTCACTTAGACATCTCCCACTGTGATGCCACAGAATGGGATCTGGGATGGATAACTTATGCTGGGGAGCTGGGCCTATGAACAAACAGGCTCATCCAACACCCTCGAAGTCTGAGCAAAGAGACATGAAGTCCAGAGTGGCCTCTGGAGCTGGGATCCAAACCCTGGTAGGCCAGTGAGAGAGCTGAGGAAGGGGGTGGGGTACTGGGTGAGAACCAAGCAGGCCTTTGGAGCTGATGACTCCGGAGAGGAAGAGAACCTCATGCTTAGCCGATTTCTTTGCTTCCCAGGTCTTCTGAGGTCCCTGAAGTCCACTGTCTTCTGCTTTCTTAACTCAAGCATAAGTATAATAATATGTATAAACTGCAAGTTCAAGAGCAAGATCTAAGCAAACATAGATTTTTCCAGATCCATTCATATCTCCATGCACCTAAGACCCTGAGAGAGTATGAAATCACACGATAAAAGTGTAGATGAAACACATTCTTATTCTGGTCATTACAAATGCCTTGTACCACGAAGTACATACAAGAAAGTAAATACATGCCTTTATTATCCTGTCTAGCCGTCCAAGCTCTGCGAGGAAGCTGCTGCTGCCGCTTGCTCTCCTTTTACTAATGAGCAAAGCAACGGAAAGGGTGACACGACTTTGCCTGGGTCACACAGCTTACAGGAGTAACTGTGAAAGCCTAGGATGAGTCCATCTTTCAGTTCCTTAGCAACAGAAAGGACTCAGAGTTCACAGGGCAGAGTTATACGCCCTGGATTAGAATCTGCAGGAGCAATTCTTCTCTTAAAATGAGTACCACTTTGTAGCCACCAGGACTGCCATTGCGTGACATTTGCAGAGATGTTGGAAGAGAGCGAGCGAATGACAGGATGTTTGTCCCCAGAGTTTCTCAATTCCCCTGTGCATGTAGGGGTTCTCGTCCCCCACTCCATCCACCCATCATCTCTAGCCTCACTGCTCTCTTTTCTCTCTGGATGAGACCCACTAACCTGTCTGCCCACTCATGAAACAGAGAGAAAGTGGGCCCCACAGCTGTCCTTCCTCAGTCCTATCCCCACTATTCTTAGGGTAATGCCCCCAATTTTACTAAGTGGAAGTGGGCAGTGGATAAGGACATTGGTAAATGGTATTTTGTGGGGAAATTTTATATAGCCCAAATCATTGGGGAAGTGCTGAATTAAACAAAAGGAGATATCTGTTCTTGATTCATATCTCCTAGACGAGGGCATGCCAAGAATGTCCCAGATGGACTTGACCACCCAACAGCTTTCTAATGCAGCAGGATTTTAAACAGCAATGGAGGAAGGGAGAAAGACATTGTGGAGGCGGGAGATGGGAGGTGGGAGGCGGGAGGCGTTCAGGAACATCTCAGATCCTCCTCAAGGGTTTGCAGCCACCCACTCTCCTGTTCCTGTGCAGCTGACCTTGGCTGGGAATCGCAATAGGTAGGCGGGGGTTTGTCTGTGTGGGTTGAATGTGTGGTGCAGGCAACTGTGTGTTTGTACAGCTGTGCACCCACACACCTAAGCACAATTGCTGGCAAGCAGTTCAAAGGTATGAACCGGGCGAGATTTTATTATTGGGCATTTGAAGTTTCCCATCGCCTAATATTTGCTCAGGTCTCTTTGGGGACACTTTGATAAATAAAGCAGAGCCTACCTTGTGGTGGCTGCAGCTTGTTGCTCGTGGTTGGAGCTCTTATAGTTCTTCAAAGTCTGAGGTTGTTTGAGAGGGTATATGCTCCGACTTCTTCTCCTGCCCTACCTGCTGAGGACATTCTGGAAGAGCCTTGAACTTCTTCCCAACTTGACACCCTCTGTTTATTTTTGCTCCCCTAATTACCCTTTCAACTTGCCCTGGTTTATTTTTAGAGGTTTCCTATCCACCTCATTAACAACTTGCAAAAGCTCCTGTCTCATATTTCTCCCCTTTACACCCTTCATTAAACACAGTGGCCTTTGTTATCTCGGAGCAGGGGCCTTGTTAGGATTTAAATGGAATGACTGGAAGCTATTGCCTAACTGATTTTCAGGCGTGCCTTTCCAGTCCTCCAATCCTTCTGTTTGCCTGCGAGTCCAGGGCCTGTCTCCCCAGGGTTCTCTCTGTTCTTTTTGGGTTGTTCTTTTTAGTAATCAAAGGCTGACGTGAAGAAGAGGCTCGGCTTCTGGCTGCTCTGTTTTGGTCTTGTTGATTTGGGGGGTGGGGGTGGACAGGCAGCTCACACTTATCCTCTTCCTCTGTTCCCACCAGGGGTTATGAGGAGAGAGGTTGGCTGGGATTTTACCCCCAAGCCTTGGCAGCCAATGTGTGAACCGAATGGAGATGCTTAATTAAATGAACACCAGGACCAAGGTCCCGAGCTTACACCTGCTGATCCTCCCACCTCATCAGAAAAACTCTGCCTCATGACTCCTTTCCACTGGCCCAGTTAGTAGTCAAGCCTTCTTGGTAGGATTGGCCAGCATATTGAAAGCATCCTTCATCAGAGATACCATATCCTGGGTACCATCCTGCAGAGGGAGGAAGGGCTGCAAGGGCCAGAAGAGGGGCTTTCGGTATGGTGACCCTCAGTGGTCTGAGCTGGGTTTTCTGGGCAGGGTTAGGGACTCTGAGGGAACCTGTGGTTTGACCAGAGCAGGGGAAGCCTGGTCAGTAAGCTGTCCTCTTTTGTGAGATTTCTGGTGTCCCTGGCAAGAGATGAGCCCCGCCATCTGTGCTACTGGCTCAGGACTGATGGGCGTGGAGAGAAGGAGCCAGGCTTCTGGAAGCAGGATGGAGTGGGTAGGACCAGACTCCTCTGTGTTGAAATCTTCGCTTCTTTCATGGTCTGGAAAGTTCTCTTACTTCTCTCGCACCTCATTTATGTGATAGGATGTTACCTCAGGAGATATCTCAAGGGCGATGGCAGAAATGATCATAGCAATGTATGGAAAAGGCCAGGCACAGTGCCTGGCACGTCATAATCCCTCAACAGACAGCAACCCATACGATTTGTATCATCAGTAGAAGGTAGCCCTCCTGGCTCTATGTGACTTCTGGAGACCATAGGAGAGCATACTTAGAGAATTGAAGTGACCCGCCCCTGTGCTTTGTGCATGGGGCAGGACAATTTGTCTTTATTGTGATGATGCAGAATCTGTGTGGGGTTCTCTAGCAGGAAATTGGCAGCTCCGGAGAGGTGGCTGCTTTGGGCAGCTCAAAATATGTTCTCATGGGCTGAGCAGTGCAGGCTCAGCTAAACTCCCATTCTTGGGCTCAGTGGTTAAAACCAGCGTCTGCCCAGGCTCTTGCTTTTACCTTGTGAATCCATCACTCCCTCATTGTCTAGCATCTGCTTCATAAAGCCCTCCAGGATTTGCCCTTGGAGCCTGTGCAATGCTCGTTGGCTGTGGGAAGGTGAGGATTAGTGGAAGAAGATGAACAGCTGAAGAGAAGCCCAAAGAACTGCTTGGCCAGAGCAGCATTGTCCGGCTTCCTCATGTCTCTGTTTGTCCCCAGCCTGGGTTGTAAACACATGTCCTCAGTCAGGGTCAACTGTCTGCCTTGTTTTTCCTTTCAATCTGGAAGACAGAAGTGAGGATATGTTTGTGGGAAGGAGATGGCTCACTTTG